TCACTGTCCACATGGGTTGATTTATTTGAAATAGAACCATGTATAATAGAAACATTGCACGAATAACTAATTCATTTTTTAATTTGATTTTAAATTTCGTGCATTCTATTGTACGGAATAGTGACTAAACGCATGCGCATTAAGTCACAGAGCATGAAAAAGGCATACTTATAGCGCTTATATCGAGTCGGTATGACAGATTTTCTAACCTGAACGGCCGTGAACTTTAACGCTAAATATCTCGGTTCAGAGGCCAGAGCGGCACTTTTTTCTGCCACATTCGTTCATTTCGTGCAAAAACACGTCGAATAAGCCTAATTTCATCAAAATCGGAGGTGAGACGGGTATTCTATACCTTTACCAAATTAAGTTATATCGTGACGTACAGAGAAATGTCTAATTCACTCGTGCATAAAAGCTTAGAATTATTGGGTTACGAAGAAGATTTGCAGAGAGGTTAGTCCATTGAAACCTCGTGTACGTTTTACCAAGGCCACGTTCCGTTTCACGCATGATGTGCATAATGCATTATTTATCCTTATTTAACAATCGGTGAATAACAAAGGTAAAAGATGCATCATGCATGAAACGGAATGCAGCCCAAACAATGCGCATACAAATATCTATTTCAGATAAAATAAACTTTCAGAACAAAGGAAGAAGAAGAAACGTAAAGATATTAGATATAAAGGAGCCTTGGATCTAATTCCCACTAAACATAGGATAATTTCTAAAAACGACAAGACAGGTTATAATTAATCATTTAAATATGTATAATCTATTAGATGAGTCATACGAAATCTACTGTTCTTTACATCTTTTATATATATAGTTATAGATTATAAAATTATACTAAATTATTTAATTACAATATTTTATTATATTTTCATAAGAAATATATTATTGGATATATATTGAAAGATACATAGGAGAAATTAAATTCTATATTTTCTTTTTATAGATCTTGATACTATTTTGGGTCGATCCAGTAAAACTACTGTTTATGAGACTCAGAAACGCTTAGCCACTCAAAAAGATCCTACTGATGAAAATGTGCAAAGACTCCTTTTACTTAGCAGTAATCGGATAGATGCTAAAACAGCAAACAATGTATGAGAAATTATGTTTTATAAATTTTGAACCTGGACAAATTTTTCATATTTATATTCTATACTGTTGTACTCTCTTATTTTATGCTTTTGTATCATATGCTTTAAAACAAATATCTGAAGACATGGACTGTACAAAGACACTTAAACATTTATTTAAAGTTACAAGGAGAATTGTTTAAATTAAAAGTATAGACTTGTTATAAGCTACATACGTTCCTCAAATAGTCTTGACTAATCCACGAAATATTTTTTAGTTGTTGCAACGTGCTGTAGGAAAGAGATATATTCAACAAGAAAAACCCAAAAAGTCAGAAGAAACAGCTTTCACAGAAGAAGATTTCAAGAACTTTGAGCAAGAATATGTAGAATAATATTGATAATGACATTGGATTGTAAGGGATTGCATAATGTGTAAACCAACAAAATCAAAATAGAAATGCTCAACAATGTTTGATAGTGATCGTCAAAGAGGAAAAGTAATATTAATATTAACATTTGTTTTGTTTCTCTACTATACCGTGTGGGTAATCGGTCTACCGTTCATCGACGATGGTAGATTAAGATCGCTTTTTTACTCGTACGATCTGGCTTTGATAATTCCCGCGAGTCTCGGGCTAATTTTCATCGGTGGTTTGATACTCTTTACCATTTACCATGTGAAATCACACTTGTTTCATAAAATAGAAAATATGGAATAGCAACTTAGTAGCAAGTTGTCAGAACATGCAGCGATATTGACTATGTTATCGTTGTAACATTGCGTAATCATACATTGCGTTCTATGACACTCATATATACAACTTGTGATATACGTGCATGAATGTGTTGTAAAGAAAGTAAATATTAAGTAGTTATATAACGAGAGAGAGAGAGAGAGAGAGATAGAGAGAGAGATAGCGAGGGAGGGATTACGTCGAATCGTTCAGTTTACTATAAATTATTCAAACATTATAAACTTATTAATAAACTTTCTTATCTACACTATATCAAGCACTACTACAGTACTACTGCAGGCAAATTAAAAATGACGAAGCAGTGGTTTGTTGTTGGTATATCTGGTGCAACCTGTAGTGGAAAAAGTACATTGGCTAATAAGATCCATGATTATTTTCCAACATCCGTTCTGTTGCGTCAAGACAACTATTTTTTGCCACCAGACGATCCACGTCACGTTAAGATACAGGAATTGAATCACATGAATTGGGAATTACTAACAAGCATGGATATGCAGAAAATGTATTCAGATGTTATAAGAATATTTCAGTCTCCCGGAAAAAATCCGACCGATTCAAAGACGCTATTGATATTGGATGGTTTTTTGCTCTTCGAACATAAGGCCATCACAGATTTATGTGACTGTAAATACTTTTTAACGTTGACAAAGGAACAATGTTGGGAACGAAGAAAAAATCGTATATATGAGCCGCCTGACGTACCGGGATATTTTGACAAAATAGTATGGCCCGAATTTGTAAAGTACAAAAATGAAGTTATACAAAACAATGAGTTGTATGAAACTGTAACATTTATCGATGGATCCAAGGATATGGAAGAAATTTGTGAAATGGTTTTCAAGAAAATTGGTCAATTCTTATCTTAAAAATGTAACTCAGTTTAACTCTTCTTGTGATTAAATTTAAATTATACAAATATCACATCAGCCTGAAACAAAAAAGAGAATTTTCTTTTACACATTCCGAAAGATATAAAAAAATTAAATGGACATTGTGAAGATATTTAATGTTGCAAATTAAAAATTTTCAATAATTTATAAGCTCTTCTTTGATATTTTTCCATAAAGGTTTTTCCTTGATATATATATACAGAGTGTCCAAAAAGTTCCGGGACAACCGAATAACTACTCAGGAAAGTGTTATCGAGAAAAAGATTAAATACAAAAGTTCTAGGGTAGGTAAAAAAGATTTATTTACTGATCCTATCAGTTTGATCTTGGGTGGCGTCGCCAAGGTCAAATCAAGATTACATCGATTTTTTTAAATGGAACACCCTACTTTTGATTCCAGAATCTAATAGCTGGTGTCAAGAGCTTTTCAAAACATTGTAATAATGTTATTTTTCATTAAGTACTTTTCGAGTTATAAAGCTTGAAAGTTACAGTACTAGCAGCATTAGCATTACGCAAGGTGTCCGACCGACGGTTAAAACCTCTTGAATAGTTATTCAGAATCATGTCCTGAATAACATTTATTAAGATCAAGGCCAATGAAGATTATTCCTCTTATTTCCATTTTTGCACTAAAATTTCATTTTTATGTAAAGATGAAAAGAGGTATAACCTCCATTGGCCTTAATCTTGATAAACGTTATCCAGAACATGATCCTGAACAACATTCAAGAGATTTTAGTCGTCGATCAGACACCTTGCGTAATGCCGGCGGTTAACTTTATTACAGTGTTTTGAAAAACTCTTGACACCAGCTATTAGATTCTGGCATCAAAAATAGGGTGTTCCATTTTAAAAAAATCAATTTGACCTTGACCTGACTTTGGCGACGCCACCCACGATCAAACTGATGAATCAGTAAATAGATTTTTTTGAATCTTACAATTTTTGTATTTAACGTTTTTCTCGATAACGCTTTCCTAAAGAGTTATTTGGCCGTTATTTCCCGGAACTTTTTGGACACTGTATATATATATATATATATACGCACACACGCACATACATATATAAAACGTATCTACTTTCAACGTTTCATATAATATTTACCAATCAACTTGTATATATGCGATTACACATATATGTAAAACTGAATTTTTAAGTAATATTAAAAGTATAGTAATTTACAAGAAAATATTGCCGTATACTAATTTTCAGTTATAGCATGTATATAATAATTTTAATAATGAAGCCTTTTGGACATTTGATCAAGTTTTGGATATATTACAAGCTGACTAGCAATTTGGAACTATCTTGTACAAAATGAATTATTTATTATTTTACAATGGACATGTATCGTGAGAGAATACTTTAAAGAAGCTGATCATTTGATACGCGCGCGGACAATCATGCATTTATATAAACTTAGTTTTAAATTTTTATATGTTACAGAGATTTGATAAATGAATAATATTGAATGATTGCTATTTCGTAAAGATATAAATTGTATGTAATTGTATATAATTAATATAATATTGTAGTAGAGTATTTTCACATTAATTTGTATGATTATAAAATAATAATGATAATAAAATAATATCTCTGTAACGTATATGTACATATATCATTATAACTTATAATTCAACTTATACGTAAAACCTATATATAAACGAACTCGTATTCGTAAATTGTTTACAAAATAGGCGACACTCAAGTCGCGAAAATATTTTTATAATTACTATCATCGTTCAAAAAACAAGCTTTCAGATATTAAAGTCTTGACTCTCAACAAGATTTTTCGTGATTTCTTATTATTTTTTAATAAAGATAACACACAACGACATGTATATGTTACATAGAGTAGGTGTTTTGTTTAATTTGACCTTGCGCATTTGTGACATTTGTCGGTGCAGGTCCAGCGGCTTGATCATCCTGATCGTTTTGTCCGCAAGCTTTGCGAACATATTGCGGGGTAAGGACAACTTCCTCTTCCATTTCTAGTACTCGTTTATCTAGTTCTGTGCATGCTGCCATTTCCTTTTCAAAATTTGCAAGCATTTGTGGTGAATTATACTTTTCAGGATCGTCGTGAAATACTACCATACCATCCTTTTGATTAATAGTCGCAAAAATTTCACCATCTTCAATCTGAAAATATAATTTGTTAATGAACAATATCAATTTGTATTTTACAGACATTGTGTATAATGCTCTAGAGTATTAGCTAAGTTTAAAAACGAATCTTTATGACTAAAGGAAAGTGACTAAAAAAGTAAAAAATAAAATTTTACTAACGTTATCATTCACTTCATTTTAAGTTTTTTTTTTTTTTTTTAAAGAAAAGGTAAGAATATATTTATGTTAGAGAGAAAAATATTAAATTTATCAAAGAATTTGACTCAAAAATTGATTTTTAAATATTTATTACATAGTACGCGATGGCATAGAAACTCACCATATTTAAAATATATTTTTCTGCTTCAACCGGACCTGATAATTGAACTCTGCTCGCAACATCACTTAAACTAAGCGTTAGGAAAGTCTTGGTCAGCCTCTGTATGTTTTTCTTATACAAGTAAGCAAGCACTTGTTTCACGAGTCCCAGATTATGATCCCTCACAAATACTTGCTGATATTTAGTAATAATGCTCTGTACTTCTTCGCAACTATTAACCAGATAAGCTGTAGCCAATTCTTGATATTGCTGGCTTAACGGTTTGATGTATCTGTTGATTACCTGGCTCGTGTATCTCGGTAGATTTAATACTTTCCCGTGTAATATCAGCGAGATCAAAATGTACTTTTTGTAGGCCTCCAGCATGATGTAGCTAACTGCCATCGCGGGCGTCGTTACACATACTTCAAAAAAATACAAAGCCCGATCGTAATTCTTTAATGCTGTATATATCATGCCACCATAATAATAGTACAATAGGAAATATTTTGAATCAAATTGGCCTCCTTCCTGGCTAATGCCTGTGACATCTATGTCGAGAAATTCGAGTGCTGGTTTAAAACATTTGGACAGAAGACATAATTGACAAAGGTCCGCGTGTATTGAGGTCAGCTGACTGTCAAAAAGTTGTATTTTGCGTATTGCACGGCACAACAATTGGATTCCACGTAATGGCATTTTTGACTCGACTAAACTCTGTGTAAACAGGTGACATAAGTCTGCATCTATAAGAATTATTAATGTTGCATATAATAAGATAAAAAATAAATACAATTCGACAACAAACTAAACAAATATATTATCATTAATATATTTGGAAAATTGAACATCTGCCAAACTGAAAATTTTGATAAAATAAATGTATGCATTGTGATGTAAACATTTAATATCAAACACATAATGCTGTAAATAAATATAGCAAATACTCGTTTTTGCTAATTTTGGATTCAAATTAGAATTTGTAATTACGACACGCACATATGATTTTATTACAAAATTTTCAAAATTAAATTATACAAATTTATGTATAAGTCAATTCTGAATATTTTTTTCAATAAAATTTGTTAGTACAAAAATAGTTTTCAAAGAGATTTTAAAGAAGATACTTGCTTTTTGAACAGATGAAAAAATTAATGGTCTAAATTGGAAGGGGCAAGCATAAATTGACAAGCGATTTCTAGGAGTTACAGTTGAAACAAACTTTTTACGTATATGGGATAATAATGCTTTATATATAATGATACCATCAACGAAATCATAACAAAAGACTTGATATACTCACATGTATCTGGTGCAAATCTAACTTGTTCTCCATTACAACCAATAATAAACTCTTGAACTTGATTGAATAAGAGTTTATGTGCATCAGGGTTATTTCCGCCATTAGAATTAGGCAATGAAAATTTTGCACAGAGCACTGCCAAGATACCTAACGAATGTTGTTGCAGATCTAATGTTTCCAAAACGTTGTCCAAGTGTTGTCCATTCTTCGTTAATACTTCAACACTTTTGCTTATGATGTCATATAACTCTCTAAAATTGCCTGTATATGCAAGTAGGTTATACAGTGATAAGGAAACAAAAATTCGTTTTTCTAAATGTTATCTAAGCTCTTATTATTATTAAATACACGAAGCGAATTTAAAAAATCCAAGCATTTTTTTTTCGAAAGAAGTTGTCTACGTTGGGAATGCTTTAAGGTTTGTTCCTTCGCTTTTTGCTTTTGCGTTTTGAGGTTAAGTTCCACGCTTTCACAATAACCAAAGTCGATCGTACCTTGCTTCGAAAGCGTTCGAACGTTATTTACAAACTGCTCCAATGCCGATGCCATTACTGCGGATGCTCTCTTATCATCACCTTCGATCAACGATTTATGAGCGTCTATTCACAGAGATTACATTCGCGAGCTGGAGCGAGCATTCGATTTGGGTTGAATGGCTGAACCCGCTGAACTCTTAAAATGCTGAAATGACAATGACGTTTTAAAACAGAGGTAGCTGCCGTAGCTAACTGGTGAAATGAGGTGGAACACCGTGAAACGTGGAATGTGGTGGAATGGAACGACAATAGGTTTTTTGTCGCGTCGCATGCTCCAACATGTTCCGATATGCTCCTACCATAGCTCTTACTCACTCTATCAAACGGATTGGAGTAAGTAAGAGCCATGGTAGGAGCATGTTGGAGCACGTTGGAGCTTGCGACGCGACAAACCTAATGCTAACTAGGATAGAATCAGAATTCGAGACCTATTCAAATCGACCTGTTCTTTGGTCTGTTTTCTGTTCCTGCACTAGACTGCACTAGAACTCTCTTTCTCGCTTTCGTTAACTATCAAACATACATCTATCTCACTTTAAGTTCCAAAAGTGTACACTAGTTCAGCCACAGAAAACAGACCTCTTATAAATTGCACATAATAGAGAACAATTATGGCTTCTTTTAAATTTGATATGTGATTGAACTATTTTCGTATGCTTTTTGTCTCATTGTCAGTAGGTACAGTATGCATACGGTGACCATACGTCTTTTAGGTCGCTGTCCTTTAGATTTATTTGTTTCTTCAAAATTCAATTTTGTCCTTTATTTTCCAATATTGTGCTTTACTGTCCTTTATTTTGACATTATGGGAAATTCTTTTCTAACTAGCGTTCCAATGTCTATAATATTATATCAATGAGCAAATTTTTACGGAAAATATCTTACAGTTTTGCAGACTATTGCAGTTTCAAACTATCAGAAAACTGCGCATTATCTCTATTTAATTATACTGTGCAATAAAATGTTATAATGCACAAATTTTTGACAATCACGAATTGGTTTAAAAATATGTAGGGACAAAATAAAATTCTAAAATTTTCAGATTTGTCCTTTATTTTCTTTAAGAAAATATGGTCACCGTAACTGTATGCACTTGATATAGCTCAGTGGTTGATGCAAATCAAACCGTCAGGGCGGATCGAAAGGGATTTTTCTTGACTCTGTAAACGACGTTAGAATCTAGAAGAGGAGAGAGTACTGCGATTTGTCGCGTCTACACGTACTAACAATGAGAGCTTGGAGTTGCAGACTATCAATATGTATACAGATATCGCTAATATTGGCCAATATTGGTCAATATTTTTTATTAATATATTATACTTTCGGCAGGCAGAGATCATTTCGGATGTTCTGGATTAATCTTGATGACCTCGCGCGACGAAAACGCACAGAGTCGGAACTAACGATAATAATATTATTAGTGATATCAGAATACGTACGTATTATATGGAATTATTCGAAATGTATCCCTATCGGAATTATTCAATTATTCCCTAGATTTCTATTGTGTTTTTTAAGGAATAATTCCGATCGGAATTCACTCAGACATATTCCATGATAGGTATTATCTGATGAATTAATCGTAATAATAAATTGTTTTTAGTTGCATTTTTTGCATAATTCATCTTTCTTTGTTTCTCTTCACATTAGTGATTAAAGGAAAAAATATAAAAAAATGAAGCGTGCGAGATGAATAAAAAAAAAACAAGCCTTATGTGTGATAGATAGTATATTATCATCTCAGAATGACGTATCTTAGAAAAGGCTTTTTTTCTATTTACAATATTTAAATGGCTCTTGCTATTTGTCGAAGATCAATATATGGTCAATTACCGCATTTATATAATATTATGCTTATGAGTAAGGTCGCTGATTTCTTCAAACGAAAAAAAAACAATTGGCCGATTATTGATCGTCCGTTTATCTTGCAGGTTAAACTTGCTGTCTCTTTTCGTTTCCTGCGAAGCAACGAGATAAATATTATTTTCGATTATCCACATTCAAAAGCAAAGGCAAAGCGAGAGAATCAGCAATTTTCTTACAATATTAGTTTCATGTCAAAATAACGTATATAAAGTTTGAAAAGTCGGTTCTTTTTTTTATCTAAGAGAAAAGCATTTGTGGGAAAAACCTTCTACATTTAATGTGGCGACAATTTTTAAAAGTATTTGTTTTTATTTTCGAGCCTTCGTATGCTCAGATAATTTTTGAATAGATATTTGCAAATAAAGAAACATAAATATGTACATTTGATTTCTTTTAAACGTGTACTTAATCGTCCATATTGAATGCGGAAAGCGAATAGAAAAGGGAAAAATTGTTATATAAATGGACATATTTTATATATAATTGTATATAAAATATGTCAATTTTTTATATAATTATATATGGTTTTATACAGTTTTATATGTATAATTATACATATATGATTATATATGAAACATTTTTTCCCGCGGGTGATTAAATTCTTTTATCTTTCTATTATCTTTTATCGTCACAATCAGACTAACTTGATTTCTTTCTCGTTAAAAAACTTCATTAGAGATATCCACTTAGAAACTCGTGTCTATTTCACTATTATAATCGTTAGTTCTCTCCTTCTCCTTCAATTTTCATTTATATTCTAATGATTCGTCAATCAAAGAAAGGAAAAAAGAAAAAAGATGAAGAATATATTGTAAATGTGTAAATTAATTCGAGAGATTTCGATAGAATAATTTCTTTTGCCTGATCACCAGTCGTCACGCGACAAACGCGATTCCTGACCGATAATTCCGTTGCTAGGTAACCAACAATCGATTGTCTGTAGCTAACATTCGAATGATGACGTTAAAGGGTAAAAATTTTTTAAGTGCGTTCGATTCTTGAGAAAATTGAGGAAGAATGTCGAACGCGACGTACAACGAGCTTTGGAGAGTGGCTCAAACATCGCTCACAGAGGCGATCCAAGCGGATACGGTGCTTCAAGGTGCGAAACCACAAAAGGACCGTAGAAAGGCGCACGACGTCGTCTCGGCGTTGTACGTAAAATATATCCTCGCGTGTAACAAACTCGAGCAATGCTATGATCAAGTGATACAACCTCAGAAGCGTTTGCTGATCAAGAAATCGTTGGACGCAACTCTGGGTAGAGTGTTGGAGTTGAAGCACGAATTGGCCAATATCGATCTTTCGGAGCACAGCTATTACGATGACATATTGATCGAGTGTGGTGTGACGGCGCAGGAGGCCGAAATTCGGGTACCGAGGTACTACAGACACGATCGTATCGCTGAAATCGAAGGGAGACGCAGATTCATCGAAGATACACTCCGAAATCTGGGTGCGCTTCATGAGATTATTGTGCCCAGGAAAATTACCGAGTCTCAGGCTATACGACTTATTCAGGTATCGCGAGTCATAAGAAAGATTCGACTAACAATAAGACTCTTGTTTTACAGTGATCGCGTTTCTAAAAAACAGAACTGTATAATTGATATGAGACAGCCAACTAAATGACTAAATATCTAACGGATGGATCGAATTCATTTTAACACACGTTTACGATCGGCCACTCGGTCTAATAACTTGACGAAGCTCACCTCGATCTTTGCCCAGCAAACCTTTTCCAGATTAGTATTCTTCATATCTTCATGTAAATTAAAAATGAATGAAACAAAAATATATATTATTTATATCTTGGAAATATCTTTTTTGTTTTCTATTTTTCTTATTTAATAAATATTTATATAAAATGAATATTTATACTATAAATCAAAATTAATCTAAACTCCGCCATATGTGAAGTTGTCGTGTCTTCTGCCACGCGTATTCTAGTTTTTGTACATGTGTAATATGTTAAACGTATATTATGCATTTTATATAAAAAATGACATCCGTATCCATATCCTACCTTACATACTTTTCAAACCGTCTGTAAACTTTAATTCTTCAGGCTCACGAACGAGCGAGACAAGGTAGGCTGCGGTATCAATTTATGAAAGAAGTTCGCGAAATGAAGGAAAGATCGACTACAAAGCTAGAAGTGGAAGAAAAAGATGAAACGAGCGAGAAACTCGCGGCATTAAAAATTCAAAAAGTATGGAAAGGATATATCACTAGATGCTACATTCGCAAAAGACGTCTCGAGGAAATGTTACTTATAGGTAAAAATAATCTAGTCGTAATAAATCTCCCTATATAGTCTGTTTCTTATCGAAAAGACAAAAAAAATAAACAAATTACTAAATTTATAATATCGTTTCGATAAAGAAACGAGAATACTTGCTGTTCTCGTCTCGTTCGATACCTATCAACATATGTTAATTGTATACGATTATAACGTATCAATTATCTCAAAGGAATGCTACAGCCTAGTCAAGTAATCACGGAGAACGCCAAGCAAGCGGAAAAACTGAAACAGCAGAGATACAAAAAGCAAATGAATTTTCAACAGCAATACGAGGCTTTAATTTTAGAAGCCACGGAGAGAATTCGCAAGGAGAAAAGCGCTATTATGGAAGAAAAGATACGGAGTGAAATTCGAAATTGGATTGACACTTATTTTCAACAAACTGGAAAGATACCTGATCTACCATCCGCTGAAAGTGGAGGTTCGCGAATGATTTTCAGCAGACAAGTAAAGTATCGATGTGTACATACACACGCGCGCGTCTGAAACTTCTATATACAGGGTGTCCCATAACTCACCTGACAACGCTCGTGGACAGGTAGAGCGGACTAAACTGAGTCGAAAAGTCCTCTACTATTTTGTAATTTTCGCAATAGTTAACAAGATATTAATTACTAAAAATTGCCAAATATTGGCCTTCAATAATTTTTTTCTCAAATACTATCAATTTTACAAAAAAACTGCAAGAGACAAAAATTGTTTATTTTCTTCTCATACAGCTCTAAGAATTTTTTCAGAATTTTTTAATACTGGATTTTCATGATGGTAAAAATAAGAAAATGCAGTACTAAAAAGTTAATAAAAAATTCTGAAAAAATTCTTAGAGTTCTATGAGAAGAAAATAAACAATTTTTGTCTCTTGTAGTTTTTTTGTAAAATTGATAGTATTTGAGAAAAAAATTATTGAAGACCAATATTTGGCAATTTTTAGTAATTAATATCTTGTTAATTATTGCGAAAATTACAAAATAGTA